TCATTTTTCAGCGGATTAAGGTTAGGTTTACAAAACAACATTTTAAATGTATTAGTTGCTCACCATAACGTGATTGACCAGAATTTTTTTTTTATATGTATAAAGAGAAAATAATTTACTAAGACGAAAACATTTAGAAAGTGCTTTAATCGCTAGATCATCGACAGTAATTTAGTGATAGAAATCTTACGAATTAACCCAGAGCTTGCAGGGAGAAGCTACATAGCTTTTCCAGGGATATTTGCGCATAAGTGAATATAAATGAACCATACGGGAATTGGAACTCAGATCTCCTGTTAACAATTCTGAGCCATTATCCATTACACCAGCTGCACATCCAAGCTTACAGCACCTGGTTTTCCCAAGCAGTCACTCATCTAGATACTGACCTGGCTCAATGTTGCTTAACTTTGACAATCATACAGCATGTATGTGTAGAAGTAGCATCTCAACACAATGTGACTGTAAGCTCAAGAAAATGCTACTCTAATTAAAAGAGAAAGCAGTTTACCGAGAGAAAAATATATAGAAAGTGCTTTAATCGCAAGATCATCCACAGTAAATTTATGACCAGGTTCTTACAACATTTCACCTTTCTTGCCAGATTTTCTGTTATTTCTCTTAAATGTAAGATATTTAATAACAAAAGTGATGGAAACTTGAACCAAAAGAAAAAGAAGCCAAATGAAATTGTCTAGATTTTATGCCCAAAACACATACTGAAGAAAAAAAAAATCTTAAAATTTAAAATTCCCAGCGTCTCTCGTTCGTGCGCATGCGTAGTTGTACCAACGTAAACATATATGTATTGCATAGTACTAATAAATCTCAAACAACAAATATATCGTCATATTCTCATATTTTAATGTACAGATCAAATTCATTTCTGAAGGATGCCAGGTCTTCTTCACAGACATTTTCGAAGAGATACTTCACCATATATAGTTTCTTACATTCTACATGTTGCGGGCACACCCCCCGACTCTAAAAGGGTGTTTGATTTTTTTGTATGGTCGTTTCTGTAATTGCATACGATTTAGCTCATAAAATGAACTGCGAGTGAAAGAATGGCACATTGATTGTTCATGACAGCCCCAAATATTTGATAGCGATGCTTTTATCTATCTAAGATCAGTCACGAGCAAAATATTTCGACCTGGGACGAGTGTGGGCTGGGAGCTGCGATTTAGGAATTCCCCTAATTAAGCTAACAGGAGAATAAAGAAATACACGAAGGCTAATGAAAAGGACATTAATGAGTTTAATAAAAGAATTCAGCATTATGGGAGAAGATGAACAGAAAGAACAAGTTTTCAAAGAACAAAATTCAAACAAACGATAATAATTTTTTTTAATCATTTCATCCCAAGCAAGACGGGAATGCGACTAGTACGCAGGGGTTTACAGGGTGTGAAAGTGAAATGGAAGAGGATTGAGGAAAGGATAAAAGATGAACGGGATTCAAGAAGACAGAAGATGGGCATTGACTTAGCATTTATATTGTAGTTATCTGGGAAGCAAGAAAACGGAAGGGAGTTCCACAGGCTGGAAGTGCGATAAAATAAAACTGTTGGAGTAGAAGTGGTGGTTGCATTTAACTATGCCAACAGTAAAAAGGTGGGGCCTAGATGCCAATCTAGTAGCACGCTTAAATTTATGTAGTCGGTGTACTAGATTGGCATATAGGTCCCACCCTTTTACTTTTTAAATAGCTAACATATAAATGCATTGATAAAATACATAATAATATATATAATATAATATAGTTTGGTTTTATTTATTTTACGGCATATCAATCTCAATGGGTTATTTAATGCCGACAAATTTTTTATTGTTGGTAATATTTTTTTTTTCAAAAGTCTATTTCTGGTAATAATTTTCCTTCATTTATATATCGCTAGTAATTTTTTTTTTAAATGTATTGCTGGTAATAATTTTTTTACAAAGTATTTCTGGTATTAAAACCTATTTTTACACTTTCATAGTGTTTTGACCCCAGTTTGGGGGTTAATGATTTACCCATAGCTGGGACCCTAACAGGTACTACCAGTCCTGCTCAGGGTGGACGTGAGAACACCAGTAATTAAGAGGTGGTTGCACGCTCCTCAAAACCTCGTGATCCGAGGCCTTGCTGCTGGACGTAGTTTATCGTCTTACCCAGGACGCATATATGATATACTAGCAATAGAGCCCGGCGTTGCCCGGGGATGTAACAGTAAGAGATAGATCAAGTATCGACCATCATAAAGACTGAAAAATAAAATTCACAAAGATTATTGTTTAAGGTTGACAGACACGCATGTCTTAATTAGTTTTGTTTTGTTTTGTTTTTTTTTTACGAATTGATCAAACCCAAACTCAAACAAAAACATTGTTTTCAATCGTTATGAGTCTACTGATTGAATAGAGTTTTATTATAAGCAATTGTCTTGTAAATGGAATTTTTAAAGCATTCTGAATGTAAAAATAAAGAAAAAATGTGCAAGACAATAAGAAACACTACCTGCCAAAAAAAAGTGAAGTTTTGTTAAAATCGGTTGAAAAATGTAGGAAATCCGATCCCATATATAAACGAACACACACACACACACAAACAACCTGGGTTTTATAATAAGTATAACTCGATATGAGTTGTTCCCCTTTCATTCTCGCGACAGAGATGCCTCTTAATCGTGTTTTCAAATTGATTTCGTGCAAAAACAATTGTGTTTTTCCAATTTTTGGCGCTGTCAGAACTACCGCAAGGTAATTTTACGTAATCCTGTGAAGTTTTGTTGAAATCGGTTGAAAAGTGTAGGAAATCCGATCCAATATATAAACGAACACACACACACACACACACAACCTGGGTTTTATAATAAGTATGATTACTGTATAATAATAATGTATATAATATATTACTATATAATAATATACATAATATATTACTGTATACAGTAAAGGGAGGAAGATGTTATAGTTTCTGAAGTGATAAATGACTTACATAAAGCAAGTATATTTTTATGTGTTGTGAGAGGGAAAAAATGTGTTATTACTCTTGTCGACGTGAAAAAAAATGCGAGTTTTTCGAAAACACGCCGTCTTTTATTACAAGAGCGATATTCCTACAATTTCGTTTATATCTGCTCCAACTGAAAAAAAAACAGAATACAATTAAGCGATAATGGTAAGTTTCTATTTTAACACCCGCGCTAAATATCCCTTAAAATTTTCTAAAATCGTCATAATTCCATGCAAATGTACCTGCTGAACTCAAATTAACAAGTAAAATGTTTCATGCTTAAACGCAATCTTAATGAAGATTGCGTTTAAGCATGAAACAGACTGTCAGCGCTGTGGGTTGGCCTCAACGTGGAATTTTATATTAACTTACGCTCTATCCCTGATATTGAGCACTTTACCACATAAATATAGCATACCTTAAAACTATATTTTTATCACACACACATACACATATATATATATATTATGAAATGGACAAAGTCCGACAATTATTTTAAGACATTTTTATGTTTATCCATTCTTTTTATAGATACATATATTTAAATAAATGTTCTGTTTATAATAAACAGTATTTACCGGCATGAATGTCCGAGACATTTTCATAGAAAATGTTTGTCCTCCGACAGGAATCGAACCTGTATCCTATACGGAACCGTCTTATAGCCTGACGTGCCTTAACCGATCGAGCCACGGAGGATCGTTCGGTTAGCTAGGTCGATTTTACTGCTTTTAAACTCAAATCTTCCATGTACATTCATATCTGCTCAAAGCGTATCCAAATGTAAACAAATGACGTCACACATTATGAAATGGACAAAATCCGACAATTATTTCTCGGACATTCAGGCCGGTAAATGTTATTAATACTGTTTATTATAAAACAGAGCATTTACTTAATTATTTGTACCTATAAAAAGAATGTATAAACATAAATATATATATATATTTATAACTTTATTTGTATTTGCGATAGAAATAATTTATAAAAAGTATTAGAAAGAAGTAAATATATATATTTTTAAGGTTTTATTGAAATTTTATTTAAGTTTCCACATGTCCTCCATCATTAGCAATACAAAGGGTAATAAGATTTTGCAGTTCACGGAAAAACATTTGCCAACTGATTTACAGTAATGCCTGAAATCACATTAGTTATTAAATACAAATAAAGTTATAAATTTTAAAGTGCACACGAACTTTTATGGACACCCTATATATATATATATATATATATATATATATATATATATATATATTCATTTATTTATGGAAAAAGTATTTTTATATAACTTGTAGAAGGAGCTAATCACTTCTGTCTGCCAATATGTGGCAGACCGCCATCTTGTTTCCAACTGTCTCACATCCGTCATTGTCGAAGTGAATTTTTCTTTTTCTATATACAAGGTAGTTCTCATGCCATCCATGTTCACGGCTCTGCTCGGAAGAAAAATAGTTTATAAATAGGAAAAAGAAAATCGAATAAAAATCAATGAAGAAAAAAGATTGCCTACAAAACGAGTGTCTCGTGTACTTCTTTTCCCTTGAGTCACTCAGATGGTTTGTTTAGGACACGAGGTCACCGGGGTTTACATTGTTGATTTTGCTTCACTGAGTCGATAGGTTGCGTTTAAAAAAATGTGTCTGTTTGTCTCTTGGTAGTAAAATGTGAAGGGTGAGTAAAAGTGAGAGTGAAAAATTGTTTTGTGTGTGAGAGAGAGAGAGTGAGAACAAATAAAGGAGAAATATTGAAAGAGAGTGTAACTGCAACATAGATAGATAGATAGATATGAACAGATTGACAAAGATAGATAGATAGATAGATAGATAGATACATAGATAGATAATAGATGAATGATAGATAGATAGATAGATAGATAGATAGATAGATAGATAGATAGATATGAACAGATTAACAAACATAGATTGATAGATAGATAGATAGATATGAACAGATTAACAAACATAGATAGATAGATAGATAGATAGATAGATAATGACTAGACTGTGATAGATAGATAGATAGATAGATAGATAGATAGATAGATAGATATGAACAGATTAACAAACATAGATAGATAGATAGATAGATAGATAGATAGATAATGACTAGACTGTGATAGATAGATAGATAGATAGATAGATAGATAGATAGATAGATATGAACAGATTAACAAACATAGATTGATAGATAGATAGATAGATATGAACTGATTAACAAACATAGATAGATAGATAGATAGATAATGACTAGACTGTGATAGATAGATAGATATGAACAGATTAACAAACATAGATAGATAGATAGATAGATAGATAGATAGATAGATAGATAGATAGATATGAACAGATTAACATAGATAGATTGATAGATAGATAGATAGATAGATAGATAATGACTAGACTTAACAATAGATAGATAGATAGATAGATGATAGATAGATAGATAGATAATGACTAGACTGTGATAGATAGATAGATAGATAGATAGATAGATAGATAGATGAACAGATTAACAAACATAGATTGATAGATAGATAGATAGATAGATATGAATGATTAACAAACATAGACTGTGATAGATAGATGTGATAGATAGATAGATAGATAGATAGATAGATAGATAGATAGATATGAACAGATTAACAAACATAGATAGATAGATAGATAGATAGATAGATAGATAGATGATAGACAGATAGATATGAACAGATTGACATAGATAGATAGATAGATAGATATGATAGATAGATAGACTGAAGAGACTGTTTTTTTTTGGTTTAGTTTGGTTTGGTTTACGGCATATGAAACCTTCTTATTGCTGGTAATATTTTTTTTCAAACCTTCGAAAGATCTATTTCTGATATTTTTCAAAAGTATTGTTGGTAATTTTTTTTTTTTTTTTTTTTGCCTAAAATGTATTGCTGATAATAATTTTTTACAAAGTATTTCTGGTATTAAAATCTATTTTTACACTTTCATAGTGTTTTGACCCCAGTTTGGGGATTAACTATTTGCCCATAGCTGGGACCCTAACAGGTACTACCACATCAGGTCAAGTTGGACCTGGGAACACCAGCAATTAAGAGGTGGTTCCATACTGCTCAAAACCTCCTGATCAAAGGCCTTGCTGTTAGACGTAGTTTTTTCGTCTTACCCAGGATGCGGATGTAGTTTATCGTCATACCCAGGAGGGACCAGCAGATTGAGATAGATAGATAGATAGATAGATAGATAGAAACAAACAAACAAACAAACTGAGAGAGGGACAGCGAGCAAGAATAATAAACAGGGAGTAAGACGTTTGGACAGAAATCGAAAATGGCAGAGAGCAAGAGAGAATGGTGGAGAGTAAAGAAGGAAGAAAGGAGAGCAACATTGAAGGAAAGAGGGACACGTGGAAAGAGTAGAGAGCAAAAAGGAAGGGAATGGGTCAAAAGGAAAATATAGGCGAGCAAGAGGCAAAGACAGAGAGCAAGAAGGGAGAGTGATGTTGAGAAAAAGAAAGGCAAAGAGGCAAAGAGGGTGGACGGAGAGCAAGAGAGAAGTGCAGGGCATAAGAAGAAATTAAAGGAGCAAGAAAGAAGGAGAAAAAAACAGGGAAAGACAGAGAGTAAGTGGGAAAGAGAGGGGAGCAACGGAGAAGAGTGGATAGTAGGAAGGGAGAACAGAGAGAAAAATAAAAGGAAAATAAAAGGGAATAAAGCAAGAGGAACGGAAAAGGATTATGGGGGAAAGGTAGAGAGCAAGAAGTGAGAGAAGGGAGAAAAAGGAAAGATAAGGGAACAGAGAGCAAGACGCAAAAGCAGAAAGCAAGAGGGAAGAAGGGGGAAGATGGGAGAGCAAGAAGGAAGAAATGAGAGTAAGAGCAAAGATGGGAGAGCAAGAGGGGAAAAGTGACAGCACGAGGCGAGAGCAATAGGGAAGAAGGGAGAGCAAGAGGGAAGATGGGAGAGCAAGAGGAAAGATGGGAGAGCAAGGGGGAGAAGTGACAGCACGTGGTGAGAGCAAGAGGGAAGAAGGGAGAGCAAGAGGGGAGAGCAAGAATGAAGAAATGAGAGCAAGAGGGAAGATGGGAGAGCAAGAAGGGAAAAAGTGACAGCACGAGGGGAGAGCAAGAGGGAAGAAGGGAGAGCAAGAGGGGAGAGCAAGAAGGAAGAAATGAGAGCAAGAGGGAAGAGAGCAAGGGAGAGCAAGAGGGGAAGAAATGAGAAGAAGGAAGAAATGAGAGCAAGAAGGGAAAAAGTGACAGCACGAGGGGAGTGCAAGAGGGAGAGGAAGAAATGACAGGGAAGAAATGACAGCAAAAGCAAAGATGGGGAGAGCAAGAGGGAAAAAGTGACAGCACGAGGAAAGAGAGCAAGAGGGAAAAGCAAGAGGGGGAGAGCAAGAATGAAGAAATGAGAGCAAGAGGAAAGATGGGAGAGCAAGAGGGGAAAAGTGACAGCACGAGGGGAGTGCAAGAGGGGAGAGAAAGAGGGAAGAAAATGAGAGCAAGAGGAAAGATGGGAGAGCAAGAAGGGAAAAGGACAGCACGAGGGGGAGGAAGAGGGGAAAAAGAAAGAGGGAAGAAATGAGAGCAAGAGCAAAGATGGGAGAGCAAGAGGGGAAAAAGTGACAGCACGAGGGGAGAGCAAGAGGGAAGAAGGGAGAGCAAGAGGGGAGAACAAGAATGAAGAAATGAGAGCAAGAGGGAAGATGGGAGACCAAGAAGGGAAAAAGTGACAGCACGAGGGGGGAGCAAGAGGGAAAGAGAAGGAGAGAGCAAGAGGGGGGAGAGCAAGAATGAAGAAATGAGAGCCAGATGAAAGATGGGAGGGGGGAGCAAGAAGGGGAAAAAGTGACAGTACGAGGGGGAGAGCAAGAGGGAAGAAGGGAGAGCAAGAGGGGAGAAGGGAGAGCAAGAATGAAGAAAAGAAATGAGAGCAAGAGGGAAGATGGGGAGAGCAAGAAGGGAAAAGTGACAGCACGAGGGAGAGCAAGAGGGAAGAAGGGAGAGCAAGAGGGGAGAGCAAGAAGGAAGAAATGAGAGCAAGAGGAAAGATGGGAGAGCAAGAAGGGAAAAAGTGACAGCACGAGGGGAGTGCAAGAGGGGAGAGAAAGAGGGAAGAAATGAGAGCAAGAGCAAAGATGGGAGAGCAAGAGGGGAAAAAGTGACAGCACGAGGTGAGAGCAAGAGGGAAGAAGGGAGAGCAAGAGGGGAGAGCAAGAATGAAGAAATGAGAGCAAGAGGAAAGATGGGAGAGCAAGAAGGGAAAAAGTGACAGCACGAGGGGAGAGCAATAGGGAAGAAGGGAGAGCAAGAGGGGAGAGCAAGAATGAAGAAATGAGAGCCAGATGAAAGATGGGAGAGCAAGAAGGGAAAAAGTGACAGCACGAGGGGAGAACAAGAGGGAAGAAGGGAGAGTAAGAGAGTAGGGTGGCGAGTAACAAGGGAGGACAGAGAGCAAGGGAGGAGGAAGGAAAGCAAGAGGAACTGATAAAGAGCATGAGGGAAAGATCGACAGCAAGAAGTAAGTGAAGAGAGTAAGTGGAAAGAAAAGACAACAAAGAGCAAGCAGAGAGAACAGAGAGCAAGGGGGAAGAGCAGAGAGCAAGAGGAAAGGGCAGAGATCAAGAGGAGAAAGCAACTAAAAGCGAGAAAACAGAAGTGATTGATTGTGAAAAGATAAGGGATCTTACGAAGCGAATTGATATTCCGCGTTCGATATTGATTCACTCAGGCTCGGTGTCTGAATGCAAACCTGTGTAAACCAATCTTTCGATTCCGATATTCGTCAGAAGACCTGCACTCTACCCCACCCACACCCACCTCCGTCTCGCTCTGACCCCCGCCCTGCTGCACGCCAGTCCAATAACTGTTCCCTGTGAGTAGACTAAAATCGAACAATGTAGAGGAACAACGTTGAGAAGAGGAGATGGAGAAAAAACAAAAGAAAAAAAACGGAAGTAGAATAGAGGAAAAGTGTGAGGAGAAGCAAGTACGGTAAAATAGAAGTAGGAGGTCAACGGAAACGAGGTTAATAAGTAGAGAGTCGACATCATTATTGTGTAACTAAGGGTCTGAAGCAGCGGTAGCAACAGTAGTAGTAGTAGTATGACTACAGACAATATTTTTATAGACAGGGGTCCGAAATGCCGTAGGAAGTGGTGTTTAGTATAAGAGAGTAGGAGAGAGGGTGAAGAAAAATATGATGCAGAGGAGAAGGAAGAGATAATAGTGATGAAGAAGGAGGAGGAGCGAAATTATGCGGTGGTGATTTCGTCGATGGTACAGAATGTAGAAACGCTTTGTAGACTTACTGACCTTTTGATGTGGCCGAAATACATCATGCAGAAACTGCATTTTCGGCCACATCTCGTACATAAGAGACACACGTGTTGTTTGTAAAGGAAGTTGGGAGGGTGATTAATTAGAAAAGAAGTAAATGGCCGAAAAAGAAAGAAAGAAAGAAAGAAAGAAAGAAAGAAAGAAAGAATACTTAAAGGAAAATAGAAAGGAAAGAAGTAATGAAGGAACAGTGTGAAGAACAAGATACTATGAAAAAGTAAAAGAAGAAAAGGAAAGATAGAAAGGTTAAAAGAAAGAAAGAAAGAAAGAATGAATGAATGAATACTGGAAGGAAGGAAGGAAGGAAGGAAGGAAGGAAGGAACGGCGTGAAGTACTAGATACGATGAAAAAGGAAAGAAAGAAAGAATAAAAGAAAGAAAGAAAGAAAGAAAGAAAGAATGAATGAATGAATACTGGAAGGAAGGAAGGAAGGAAGGAAGGAAGGAAGGAAGGAAGGAAGGAAGAAGAAAAGAACGGTGTGAAGAACTAGATACGATGAAAAAGTTAAGAAAGAAAGAAAGAAAGAAAGAAAGAAAGAAAGAAAGAAAGAAAGAAAGAAAGAAAGAAAGAAAGAATACTGGAAGGAAGGACGGAAGCAAGGCAGGAAGGAAGGAAGGAAGGAAGGAAGGAACGGCGTGAAGATGCGATGAAAAGGTAAAAAAAGAAAGAAAGAAAAAATGAATGAATGAACACTAAAAGGAAGGAAGGAAGAGAATGAAGAACGATATTCAATTAATAAGAAAAAAAGGAAATATGAAGAACTAAAGATAGATGAAGAAAGAAAAGCAAGGGAAAAAGACATTGGGAAGAAAAAATAAACATGGAGATGATAACAGAAAAAAAGAAAAGTAGAAAAAAAACGGTAAAAATTGGTTATTAATGGCTGACACACAAATCTCGTAGGTGATCTCGTATTCCACGTATACACACGCTACACAGAAGCGGGTTTTGACAATACAACATTCCACTGTATTACATGGGTTCGACATGTCTATATACTTTTCACTGTGTTATAGAAACTTAACGGTAAGATGACGTCAGCAATGTGAATAACCGGAGATTAATAATATAGCCATCCAACTCGGAGGACAAAATAAACACGTTTGAAAGAAAGAAAGAAAGAAAGAAAGAAAGAAAGAAAGAAAGAAAGAAAGAAAGGGAATATGACTAAAATGAACGAAAGAAAAAAGAAAGAGAAATGAAGGAAGGCGACTATAAGGAAGGAAGGAAGGAAAGAAGGAAGGAAGGAAGGCGACTGAAATAAATGAAGAAAAGAAGAAGAGAAGGATAAATGAAGGAAGGCGATTCAAAAGAAAGAAAGAAAGAAAGAAAGAAAGAAAGGAAGAAAGAAAGAAAGAAAGAAAGAAAGAAAGAAAGAAGTGAATACAACTAAAATGAATGGAAGATAGAAAGAGAAATGAACGAACGCGACTAGAAGGAAGGAAGGAAAATGATGAATGGCGTCTAAAATAAATGAAGGAAGGAAGTATAAATGTAGGAAGGCGACTTAATTAAAAGAAAGAAAGAAAGAAAAATATGGAAATACGAATAGAATGAATTGAAAGAAAGAGTAAGTGAAGTCAACTAGAAGGAAGGAAGGAAGGAAGGCGAGTCAATTCAAAGAAAGAAATGGAGAAATGAAGGAAGGTAATGAAATTCAAAGAAAAGAAAAAAGAAAGAAGTATATAATTAAAATGAATAACGGAGGAAGGAGAAAATGGCGGTGACTAAAATGAATGGCGACTGGAATGAAGAAATGAAGGAAGGTGATGAATTTAAAAGAAAGAAAGAAAGAAAGAAAGAAAGAAAGAAAGAAAGAAAGGAAAAATAGAATGATACGACTAAAAGAAAAAGAGGGAAGGAAGGAGAAATGAAGAATGTGAACTAAAATGAATGAAGGGTGAAAAGAAGAAAGAAAGGAAATCTTATAAATTAAAAAAATATATATTTTCAGAATCAATAATTGATACAGAGAGGTTTTTCCCTAAGATGTATCAACAGGAAATTACGATCAGCGAGCCCTGCACGCAAATGAATATCATGAATTCGATCCTTACGTAGAACTTCAAGCTTCTGACCTTGTGCCAGACTTACAGATACTTAATCAATGCCTATACTGAGCCGTCACCAAAAACTTATAACGAATCCGTTTGTAAATAAACCATTTTCTTACTGAAAAATTAAATTAAAGTTAATTAAACTAAGTATTTTTTACCTGAAAGTTAATTAAACACCGAAGAAGAAACAACTCGTCCGGCGTAGGAGGGGGGGCGTCTTCAATAAAAAATTGCTTTTATTTACTGCAAATTATTCATTATATCATATCCAAAAAATTAGATCTGATTACACAATATTTCAAGCTTAATTTAGGTTTACAGTTCGTAACCATGCAATGAGATGAGGTAACATAAAGCGTAGATTTGCCTGCGGAATATCATTACATTATAGTGAAATCATTAAGGTTTTTTTGACAAAAGCATTTTTATTTTTGGTCGTATATTAATTTAAAATATTCCTTTTTACAGGCTTTATTTTTGAAATGGAATTTGATCATTCTAAATTTCAGAATTTCGCTATTGCCCATCAAAAATGATTGGAAGAAATCGATCTAAAAACAACAATGGAAAAGTGAGGTAACAAAGCGTAAACGAAATTGCTCCAGTTTGTTCAACTTAGGAAACTTAGCATTGCAGCCAAAATATTCTAAAATGCTGCCAATAACAAAGGAGAAAATGAAAAATACCTAACAACAAATTGAATATAGCATCAAAATTTATACTATTTTTATTTATTTGTTATGTAACTAAATACATAATTGTCAATAATGTTTCCCTAAAACTTGATATTTCCTGTAATAAATTCTTAATAAATATTATTATTGTTATTATTTTACTTAAGTGTAAGGTAGTCCTACATTTACAATTCCTTACGGCTAAGCATGAAAAGAAATGTTGATTAAAACTGACTAAAACCTTTTAGCGTGTATTGCCGCAAAATTATCAAATGTTGAATATGCACCTCCTCCAGCGAAGATGACAAATAAATATTAATAAATTATTATAATTATCATAAATTAATATATATTTCCCATTTTAATAACATTTAATAACATTTTAATAAGATTTTAATGACATTTTAATAACATTTAATGACATTTTAATAAGATCTTAATGACATTTTAATAACATTTTAATAAGATTTTAGTGACATTTTAATAACATTTAATAACCCTTTAATAAGATTTTAATGACATTTTAATAATATATAATGACATTTTAATAACATTTTAATAACATTTTAATAACATTTTAATAACATGAAACGTCATATTAAGCTTTTTTTTCTTTCAAAATTTATCATCATTTTATCTTTTTTTAAACATTTCATGCCAAGCAAGGCAACAAAGCCATTAGGACGCAAGAGGGTTACTGACTGTTAGAGAACATGAGAATAAAAAACTATTAAACAGAGAGGACAATAAAAGAAAAGTTATTAAGTAGAGAGAAGATAACGATTGACATCGCATTTAAATTTTAAAGATAAAAATTGTTTGGGAAGCAAGAAGCCGCAAGAGAGTCCCACAGGCAAGAAGTGGAAGAGGAAAAACTGTTAGCATAGAACTTGCGGTTACATTTAGCCAGTCCAACAGTAAAATGGTGAGATCTCGCCACCGATCTAGTACTGCGCTTAAATTCATAAAGTCCGGGTACCATGAAAGTATTTCTACAAATCACACGTTACGATGGTGGGGAAAGTGACAGAAGCCGAGATGCCATTTCGGGACCAATAATATTGCAGATTCTTCTTTGGATTTTATCAAGAATCTTTCTCTATATAGCAGGAGCACCAGGTCAGATTTGGCAGCAATATTCAAAGCAAGGATGAATGGTAGAATTTTTAATATATAAGATAGATTCTAGCGAGAAAAATTGTCTAGCACAACATAAATGTTGTAACCTAGAAAGGGTTACTGAATGAGAAATAATCAAAATGGAGGTTGGAAATAAAATGGTAATAATTATGACATCAACAAAATACAATACTCGCCAGCATCGTGAAGTAGGTAAACCACTGTTGGTGATGGACTACTTAGATATCATATTACCCCCCCTTACAATAGTGTCCAACATATTTATGAGGATTGGGACATATCCATTAGTGTTCACAGGTATGGTATATAGCAATATTGATGTCTCTTCCAAATCTGTCCTTTCTTTATCTCTTCGTCTATGTCCCTTCTTTCTTTAATTCATTTTATATATTTCTTGTAACCTGGAAAGGGTTACTGAAGGAGGAATGACCAAAACGGAGTTTGAAAATGAAATGGTAATCTTTATAACATCAATAAAATACAATACTCGCCAGCGACGTGGTGTAGGTAAACCACTGCAAGTGATGGACTACTTAGACAGCATATTACTCTCTACTTACAATAGTGTCCAGTGTATTTATGTGGATTGAGATATAACCGTTAGTGTTCATAGGCACGGTATATAACAAGTAGATGGATAGATAGATATTGAAGAAACTGAAATAGATAGATAGATAGATAGATAGATAGATAGATAGATAGATAGATAGATAATGAAAAGAGATTCATAGATAGTGTCGAAACTTAGAAAAGGGTTACTGAATGAGGAATAACCAAAACGGACATTGGAAATAAAATGGTAATCTTTATAACATCAACAAAATACAATACTCGCCAGCGGCGTGATGTAGGTAAACCACTGCTAGTGGAGGACTACATAGACACCATATTACCCTCCACTTACAATAGTGCTCAACGTATTTATGAGGATTAGGACATACCCATTAGTGTTCATAAGTACGATATATAACAATAATGAAACAACTTTCTTAGCTACAGACTTAGCAGTTCATTAAATATAAAATTTCCACGTTAGTCCGAGAAGGCGCAATGAGTCGTTCTCCTGGAGGTTAGCATCAGCCATACTGGTAGAAGGTGAAAAAAGTTCTTTGAGATTATAAATTGAAAGCAGTTTCGTTTCTGAGGCGTTAAAATTAACAAGCCACTACTTGTCCCATTTAACAACAGACTGTACGTCATTTTAGATCAGCTAGCAATTTGACCTTATCAAACCGATCACACTTATTATTAAGACAGGAGTAAATAGATGTGTCATCACCACAGATACGAGTTGAAAACGAATGACCCCAGGAATGTCATTTATGAAAATCAGAAACAACGTAGGTTCAAGGATAGATCCCTTGGTAACACCTGCCATAATGGAAAACGATATAGAAGAGTGGTCATTAAGGATTAAAATCATTTCACGATTTGATAAGACTAAATCAGTTCAAAGATTTGCTCAGAAATACCATAACATTTCAACTTGTGAAGAAGGACCAGTAAGCCAAACCCTGCCAAACTTTCTTGGTCAACTGCTGATGTGTCAACGATTATTGCTGAAAGAGTCTATCAAGCTTTAGATAAGAATAGTGAATAGATGCTTAACCAGTTAATAAGAGTTAATAAGAGATTTTAGTAATTTGTCGAAAGAGTATAAGGCCAATAAAACGATCAGATAATTTGCATGGGTTCTTAAAGACCAGAACTACAAAAGAGAATTTCCAACAAGCAGAAAAGCAAGAAGCAGCAAGTCATTAATTGTACAGTTTAGAAAGAACAGGAAACGGTTCAGAATCACATTTCTTCAGGACTATTGTAAGGATACCATTAAGTCCACATGCTTTGTGAGGATCCATTTTAGAAATGATAGCAGAAACTATGGACGGTGTTATATTCATATCATTCAATAGAGACTCGGTTCTAAGTGAGAAGTCAAACAAAGATAATCCAGATGAGTCAAGAGTAGAATTGGAAGAGAATTTACGAGCAAAACATTCCGCTTTATCAACAGAAGATGATAATACCTCAAATTGAGTGAAGGGAGGAGGGATAGAACCCGCCAGTTGTCACGTGAACCAAAACTTGTTAGAGGTAATACGGTGCCTCATTCTATCTGCAAACAAATACTTAGCCTCTTTGAGGACACGTTTACAATTATTTCGAGCAGTCACAAATTGGTGTCTGTTGCGATCGGGATTATGACGCTGGTTCACCCGGAAAAAAGTGATTCCAATAACCTACTGAACTGGCTGGTGTGAACTAAGATGATTGTAGCTTCAACTGATATTTGCGAGTGAGTACAAAAACATCAATGCCGGCTTTAACTGAAGAAGAAACCTCAGTGGCACAATTCTCAAAAGGAAGGTTAAGAATATCAATTCAAGGGGTGTCTCGAATAAAGTCACGAAATTAATCCCAATCAGTACGCTGGTAACAGAAAGAGGTCTCGTTAATAGAAAATTCCTTTTTAATAGATAAATCAAAAGAAATATCAATCGATATTACAGCGTGATCCGAATTGCCTTAGGGTAGAGTTGTGATACTCTACAAGAGCTAGGAGAGGAGGTAAGGAAGAAATAAAATAAAGAATGTTGAACAGATATATTCTGGAAACGAGTAAGGAAAACCACTATTTGACTGGGAGACCGAACAATGTACATATTGAAAGTCTGAATATTAGCAACATCAATAACTTTAAAATGTTTAAGCCACTTGACGTGATGAGCATTAAAATCATCAAACACAAAAATATTCGCAGATGGATGTAAAGAAAGAGCCATTTCAATATTATCAGAACCTTTAGTTAATATATTACAGTCCTGAGATAAAGGGAAAAGGGGTAGTTAACAGAGTGCAATAACGAAAGTCGAAAACACATGAAAGAATCATCTGGAGACTCAAAAGTCAATTCCCTTGCAATTGGGAGATTTTCCCGAATATAAACTCCGAGGCCAATGCTTATGTATGCTAGAATCTTTTCGATAATGAGGAAGATAGTCTGGAACAGAGAATCTATTCATAGCAATAGAAGAATTTCAATTAGTTTCATAAAGTGCGAACAACATCCGGAGACCATTTCAAGAGAAAATATTTAACACGTCAGAAGTTAGAACGAATATATATATATATATATATATATATATATATATATATATATATATATATATATGCGTAGTACTTAGTGGAAAGTGCTCGATGTCAGTGATAAATCTATCATATAAGGTTTTATAGATATTAGTTTTTGACACTGGGTTTCACGCTTTTGCGATCATCAGACAAACTGGTTTAATCTTTTTTTTTAAATGAATCTATTTATGCTTATTTGTTTATGTCTGGTGGTGGGTGAGGGAATTTTCTTCTGTGTTTGTTTTGGATGACACTCTCACATATACAGACACACACACATACATGCATCCCCGTTCACACAAACACACCCATATAAACAATCCGATGTTAGGCGCAGACACATGCCCAGGCGCTCGACCTTTACATACATACGCAATTGTCATTCTATTTCTAAAGTTTATTTATGTAGCGATGTTCTGCTAAAAAGGAACAGGTGGAGGTGGTTTTGACGCTTTTCACATCGGCCGTCTGTGCCGTCAGACAAGCTTACACTTCCTTCCATTATTTTACAAAATAATCCAGTTTGCCTGATAATCGCAAGAGCGTGAAACCAAGAGCACAAACTAAATATATATATATATATATATATATATATATATATATATATATATATACAAATAATATATATATATATATATATATATATATATATATATATATATATATATATATATATATATATATATATATATATATATACATATATCAAGTGAATATATATATATATCATACAAGTGAATATATATACAGTGTAACCCGGATATAAGAGAGTTGTCGGGACCGGAGAAGAAGTCTCTTATATCTGGGTTTCTCTTATATCCGGGTTTGGTCTATTTTATATACATTAACACAGGCTCTAATTTGGGACCAGAGAAAATCTCTCTTATATCCGGGTTTCTCTTATATCCGGGTCTCTTATCCGGGTTACACTGTATATATATATATATATATATATATATATATATATATATAAATATTTCTCAGAGTTAACCTATAGAAAAATACAATATGTATAAAAGTAAAAGACAATAGAAAAAAGTATATTATTAGCCGATGCTTTTTGTCCAATGTGGACTTTTTCGTTTTTGCCTTGAAAAAGTCCACATTGGACGAAACGCGTCCGCTAATAATACAGTTTTCCTATTGTCTTTTACTTATATATATATATATATATATATATATATATATATATATTATATATTTTCCATATCAGTTGAGTTTCCGTTGAGTTGACCGATTAAATAGGTCAATGTGTGTTCCTTACCCACTCCTTCCTCAATATTAAGTATTATAATAAAAAGAAATATAGAAATAAATTTTAAAACTCTCCTTTCCCTCTCTAAACTCGACCATGTCTCTCACAATATTCCTCACCACCCTCTATGTCAACTTATATAAGCTTAATACTGCCCGTCAAAAGTGTAAATTTTAAATTCATTTTTCGTTTCCCCTTTTGTAAGTGGTCTGAAGATACAGAGAAAAATAAAATTCTCTGGTGAAATAAATTATTACAAATGGAGCCTTAAAGTGGTCTGTTTTTCTTTAAATTAATATATATATATATATATATATATATATATATATATATATATATATATATATATATATATATATATATAATGACAGTTTCAAATAAACCTCATCAATACCTAAATGGGTGACCGCTTGGGAATATCAGGTGCTGTAAGCTTGGATGTGTAGATGGTGTTATGGATAATGGTTCGAAATTTTTAATCGAAGAACAGAGTTCGAATTTCATTTACGTTCAGTTACGCACAAACACTTTTGGGAATGGTATGAATTCTTTTTTTAATGGTATGAATTCTTTTTTTAATGGTATGAATTCTTTTTTTAATGGTATGAATTCTTTTTTAACCGATATATAAAAATGAACTGGTGTGGATAAACTAAAAATTAACACAAAACTCGAAATCAAAGTTTTTTTTTCTTCAAATTTCAGTACCAGACAAAAAAAAATGAAGAATTTAATATGTAAATATTCACTGAATATAAAACTTTCCATTTCTTAACCCGTTCTTCATTGGGATTTGGATTTTTCCGACGAAAATTCTCGCCAACAAAAATCTTGTACATTCCCACGATGTTACAGACATTTAGAAACGCTTTGCAGAATCAGTTCCAGTAGAAGAAGAGATAAACAAATATCGACTAATTCGGTTGTAATTTATTTAGTATTCCTCGCACTCCTCCAAAAAAAAGTCTTGGAAATAACTAACAAAAGAACAACAATTTACATTTTCAATTTCCTCGATTTCAGTTTGGCAAATACATCTTCGCTACTCGAAACTATTTTCAACATCAATAACAAAACAACAAAAAAATCGTTCAAAGACAGACGTCTCTAATCCTTTGAGCAGAATGTTTTCATTTCAGCTGTGCTCACTTCGTTGTCGATAGACTCATTGAATCAAATTTTCTTCCAAATTCTTGCCGTTCTTAAAACTCAAAGACTTCAGGCATTTCTCTTGATTACAACATTTCAAACAATCAAGTTTTACCATTTTCGAAATTTTATTTATTTATTTATTTCAAAATGCTGGTTATTCCTGAAATTGAACACAAAAATGTGACTTGTTGAG